TTCAGTTGTGACAAACAGGGCTGGCTTTATCACATGATTATGGGGAATTTTTGCTTAGAATCTGAATTCCAGCGGCTCAGTGTGGCACAGCGTAGTCTGTGAGAGTACTGATCTGAGCTCTGGGTAGTTGTTTCTGACACTGCTCCTCCCAGGCATTTTATGTCCCTTTGGTTCCCAGGGCATGTTTGTCTCCATTTCCAAAGGCTGGTGCTGCTCCCTGTGTGACCTTTGCTGTGCAGACCCTCCCCACACCAGCTGTCCTGTGTTTCTGTTTACCCCTTTCAGGAGCTTGATGACTCTTCTTGTGTCACCATAGGCAGCTTCAGGGTCTGTTTATAGTGTAAGTCAGTGCTGCTTAAAGAGAAAATCTTACATGATGCCACATTACCGTTTGCTAATTTAATGGGAGTTCCCAAGGAAAGTCTCTCAAATTGTTCTGTCTTTAAAAGAGATGTATCTGTAGCATTAAGTAAATGGTAAATACATTATAACTATTCAGATGTTAGAGTGAAAGAACTAATTTATTACTTTAATTAGTTTGTAGTGTACTTTACATTATTGTAATATGCAATATTGAAATAATGATCTGAAAATAGGTGTGTACACATTCTGTTCAGCACAGCAATTTAATAATTCACTTGGCAAAAGCTCCTCTAATAATACATGAACTGTGAAATGTACTTGAAATACCAGTTGTAATTAAAAACTTTCAGAACTTAATGTTGGCAGTACTTGTACTGCTAAAATGTAAGCTGCTTTGTAGAACAGGCACTGGGGGAGCCAGGTTTCAGTGTATTTTCAATATTAGTTTAACTACTAGGATCTTTTTAATATTTAAATAAAACATTTACTGTTGACACAGTAAAATCTACCCTTCTGATTTTGCACTCATAGGAATGAAAGAATGCAATCAGGAACACATTAATTTTTGTGTGCAGTCTGTGCTCCCAGATTGCTGCTGCAGTCGAGCTGAATTGTTGTTCCGGAGGTTTTTTTGTTCTCCAGACCCTCTGGAGATAAAAGCTTGCTGAATGCAGTGAGCTTTCTTGGCAAGCTTCAATTGTAGGAATGCTGGCAATTCAGCATCAGGTGGTCACTTTTGAACAGTACAGCGATGAAAGCACGGAGGTGCTGAGGAGATTCCTCAGGAATGGAGGTGCTGAGGAGGTTCCTCAGGAATGGAGGTGCCGAGGAGGTTCCTCAGGAATGGAGGTGCTGAGGAGATTCCTCAGGAATGGAGGTGCTGAGGAGGTTCCTCAGGAATGGAGGTGCCGAGGAGGTTCCTCAGGAATGGAGGTGCTGAGGAGATTCCTCAGGAATGGAGGTGCTGAGGAGGTTCCTCAGGAATGGAGGTGCCGAGGAGGTTCCTCAGGAATGGAGGTGCTGAGGAGGTTCCTCAGGAATGGAGGTGCTGAGGAGGTTCCTCAGCTATTCCACTCCCTTCCCTGCTGGCCCCGGGCACTGTGGGCTGGGACATGACCAGCTCTCCCCTGCCACTGTGGGACTGCTCTGTGCCACTGAGGTGCAGCTGAGGGTTGGCCACTCTGTCCTTTGTCCCCAGCAGTTCAGATAGTCCAGCTCCTAATTTGTGACCCTGTGACTGCACGGACAGGGACCGCTTTGGGCACCTCTCCTGTGGACGGGGCTCCCCAGAGATGTTCCCCTGCACAGGCCACAAAGTGAGCTGGGGCTGTGGCACTACAACTGCTCTCTGGCACGGAGGCCTTTAATGTTCGAGTGTGCTTTAATAAGTGAAATATACTGGCATTTGAATCAGCTGGTTAATGTCTAATTTTTGTTATTTCTTACACTTCGGTGTAGCTCAGCTTTAGGAACATTTTATTCAATATGACTTTAACTCTTCATGTGGGAAAAACCATGGCATAAGGCCAACCTACTGAATCCCATTTTATACACATTTTGTAAATACTGCTTTTCTGGTTTTTACCAACTTTTCCCTTTTTTTTCCCCTCTTTTTTCCTCTTTTTTTTTTTTCATGTAATTATGAATTATTTTTAAAGGAGGTGAATTGTCTTCGTCTTAATGAAAAGACATGGATTAGATAAACATGGGGGAGGGGACAGGGGTAATCTAAACTAACTTCATGTGCTGCCTACAGAAAATAATAACACTGGGTATGGTGAGCAAATATGATATAGTTACATTCTCCTTTGGCATTCTCATTACCCATTTTCCTGATTGGCAGTGGGCTCATACATTCAAAAACCGAACTAGATAAGGGCAGAAAGCAGATTCTACCCCCTGAATGTGTGTGTTAGTGATTTAGGGCAGAACAGGGAGTGTTGTAGGTGTGGAGATACACCCTGAGTTACTGGCTTATCTGTTCTGTCTGGGGAACCCCATTGGATGATTAGTGCTTTGTAAGCTGAGGGAAGTTCTGGATTTGATGCTTGGTTATGCTCATTTGTTTGTATGAAACCTGTCAAAAATCTAGATTGTGCCTCAATATTGATTTCTGACTTGAATCAAAAGGCTGTAATGGAAGAGCTATGTGGAAACAACCGGGGAAGGTGATCACGGCCTGGCACCAGATTGGGGTGTAACATTGCCAAGCAAACCACTGCTAATCAGAATGAATTAACAAGGAGGCTTGAGATGATTTCAGACTGAACTAGTACCTATATCTGCTCACTGCTTCACTGGGGTTTGATTCCTTCAGTCAGTTGTTGTCCCAGACTCTGCTGGGCTCACTCTGTTCTCCACATCCATTTCCAGGCAGTGGTTCCCCTGCAGTGTCAGGGAGCTGGAGCTTTCCTTGAGACCAATTTAATGGCCTCAACGAGGCCAACGATTGCAGTGCTAATGACTGCAAACAAACGGTCAAAAAAATCCCTGGTTAATAGGTAAATTAATATCCAGAGAAGACCAATAAAGGATCAGAAGAGTTCTCAGACGTGGAGAGAACTGAAGCCGCATCATGTACTGAGCCCAGTGGCATTGATCCCAGTATTGGAGCGTGTTTGAAAGGAGCGTGAAGCAGGATGTAGGAAAATCCAAGCTTACAAAAAGCAATTTTTTTGTTACATAATCTGATTGTTACCGCATTTCTGTTCAGAAAATCTCAGTGGTGTTATTACAGACGTTTAAAGCTCCTTCGAATGCTTCTGCAGTTTATCCCAGCTCCAATCTGAGTATGCTTTTAGCAGATTTCATTCAGTGTTTGCTTGTTGTTAGATTGTAAAGCTTCCTGAATATGGTTTTGCTTTGATCTGTTTCAAAAGCCAGGTAGAAAGGATTGCATGTTCTTGTAACTCATTTTTAAAGCGTTCCCTTTTGACTTCATTTGTGTGGCAAGTGAAGGGTAACTGAAACAATTTAGCATTTTACTTTAGATTCTTAAAGTGCTAAACTGCATGAGCAGGCTGCTGGCAAAATTGCTACATGAAGATTTGGATTTAAACAGCTGTTGTGCTACAAGTTTCAAGTGTGAGGGAGGTTTAATTCGGGTGTTGCAGCTGAGGCTGGAGGGACCTCTCCAGGCCCCCGGGGACCACCCCCTGCCCAGGCAGGGTCAGATACAGCTGGTGACCCAGGATCCCACCGAATCCAGGTTTAAACCTCTGCAGGGGGTGGAGGCTCCATAACCTCCCTGGCCAGAATGTTCTAGTGTCCATCCACCCTCTCAGGAGGGAAGTGATGGATGGCATGGAATTTCAGGAGTTTCAGTCTCTGCCTGTTGTTTCCCATCCTGTCACTGGGCACATCTGGCTCCATCCTCTGCATGCTCTTCATTTTTGGGTTGTTTTCTTACTATTACTTTGCTTGCACTCCATGAGAAGTCACATCATTGATCAGCCTATTGCAAAGAGCAAAGTACACTTGGTATTTTAGCAAGAAGTGGGGCAAGCATGGCATCACTCAGATGTAACTCACTGAGAACCTTGGACCATGGGGAGCTCTGGATTTCTGAACAGAACATCTTTCATAAGCACAAAACAGAAGAATTAATAGTCTGTGCACACAGCCAGTGGAATGCAGTAAAGGTAGAAAAAATTGTAAGCATTTTAATATCTTAGCGTTAAAGTGCTCACTGTAGTGTAGAAAACCAGCTGAAAAATGGCTCCAATGCTTGTTCCTTAGAGGAATGCAGAGTTCCGTTAGCACTTGACAAATCCATTACAAAAAGAGCTGGCAAGCCAACAAAAAGGAGACATCATTAATCCTGTTGAAACCAGTGTGAAACAGATGAGCACACAAGTGCTCCTGACAGCACCGAGGAAATCGGGACCCTCACTGGCTGGAGATGAGTCACTGCCCGTGGCACGGGGATGGGGTGTCTGTAGCTAACAGTCTGTCAGGGTCATGTCAAGAGTGGATTTTTGGCAGGTTGAGCTGGGTGGTCCATCCCGTCTCCAGGATGTTTTGTTAAGAAGCAGGGCAGGCTCTGCAATGAGGGGTGTGGGGGAGCTGGGCCCTGGCCTGCTCTGCCGCGGCTGCTGCCTCTCTTCCCACAGAGGAGGGGGATGTTGTGTGTGCAGGACCCCCCAGGATGGTCACAAGCCCTGGGAGGGGGCAGGGGTGCCAGGCTGGCTTCCCCTGTGAGAGCTGGCAGAATTGAAGGCCCTGTCCTGGGGGGAGTGCGGAGCTGTCACAGCAGTGCCGGCACTGGGGGCTCAGAGCGCACTCTGCTCGGGGACTCTCGGTCTCCATCCCTTCACAAGTTCGTTAAGGAACATGCATGCCATTGAAAGCCTAAGTGCTCAAGGGGAATTCGAGATCTGAATTACTGAGATGGTTTTAACAATTTTACCTATAATCTCTTCCTGTGTGATTTTATTGCATCTTATGCCAGTCAGTAGCAAACTGCACATGAACATGTGGAGAGGTGGTGCTTGCTAAGTGATTGTGTTGCTGATAAGATTATAAATCTTACTTTGTAAATGGACTACATGGGTTTCCTTCCCAGTCTCAGCTTGGCAGGATCACAGTCACAGAGCTACAGTCTGCTACAAGACTGTCTCTTCAACCGTTTCTTCCAGGTTCTACAGTGGAAAGCACAGCAGGAAGAAGCTGCTAAACTAGAAGCTGCTGTAGCTGCCAGAAGAAAAGAAAAGGAAGATGAGAAAAAAAGGCTACAGAGAGAACAGGAAACCAGTCGTAGAGCTCAGGAGAAAGAGAAAGTATGAGAAACTTTTATACGTTTTTGCATATGTTGATGTGTACAATTGCTCCTGTAATCTTTAACTGAATTCATACCACTTGTGTTAAGTATTGATATAGAGAAGGGCAAATGGTCACTTGGGTCTTGCTCCAGTCCATTTTAGCTCTAAAGCTGCCTGCTCTGACACACCAGTTGTGTTACTTCATTGCCTGTCTTTAAAAAAAAGCCTGTCCAAGTCAGTGTGTGACTGTGGCCATGTCACAAACCAGCACAGGGGCATGGCTGGGTCTGACTGCACAGATTTGTGCCTTTGAGCAGTGTGGCAGCCTCGGGAAGCTCCCAGTGCTGCAGCTGAGTGCTGCAATGCAGCAGAGGAGCCCGACAGCTCACAGCCTGCAGGACAGCAGGGTGGGGGACCAGCACGTCTCCAAGGGACAGTATTCCCAGTACTTGTGTGCTCGCCCCTTGGGAAATGGCTTGGATGCAACTTAACAGCAAATCCAAAATCTGCTGTAGTGAATGTAATGCTCTAGCAAACCAAGCTGTGTCACACGTGTTTGTGTTGGCCTTTTTATTTAAATGATGTGGCAAAAATCCTGGAGGTTGTTTCATTAGGATTTTACCTCTGAGTACAGAGATACAGAGAGGGACATTTAGTGAGGGTTTGCTGCTTAGGTCATGAGTAGCTTTGCTGCTGCTTTACTTTTTGTTCCAGCTTGTTCTGTGTATTTGCCTTTACGCACACAGTGTTTGTAGTGGCAGGTGGCTCTGAAACCACAGGGAAGGAAGAGGTTTGGGCAGGCAGTGCTGACACAACCACTAGCAACATTCATTTTATCTGTAAATATTCTGGTTGTGCAAACTTTTCTCTTCTTGTGTGTGATATCAATATAGAACCATCCTCTGCCTATGCACAGATGGAATAGCAGCTGTTTGGGGTCAGCAGTCGTGTTTCACTGGAGTATTTTCCATCTTAGATCCTTAAAAGGGCTGCTAACCTTATACTGCAGCTGCTTTTCTGGGGAATGTTCTGGGGCAGCAAGAAGAATATTTAAAATACATGTGAGCAGTGTAAAAGAAATGACCACCCTCTACCTGGTTTGTGACCCAGGCAAGGTATGTCAAGCAACTCCAAACACAGGAAAGGGTAACATGCCATTAACTCTAAATGCCAATGCTACAGTTGCTCTGTTGGACTGCAGATCAGAATTTTTCCTGTATATTTAAACATGGAATTTCAAAAATATCCATTGATCCCTAATTAGAGTTTATGAGAAAGCCTTCAGGCAATGAGGAATACAAAAAGGGAGTAATTGCAAAAGTGAGAGTTTTATTTCATAAATAGAAGTATTTGAAACAATATTAAATAAAAGCACTCTAAGAAATATGGTTCTAGGTCAGGTTGCTTCCTGACCTTCATATGTCAAAAATGGCCTGTCTAAAGAAATGATTGGCTTACAGGTCGGGAATTCTGAAATATAAGCACTGTTTGGAAGACCTGTTTTATTCTGAACCACAGTAGTGAAGGGTTTTTCTGCACTAAGTCCATCATTCTGTGCAAGGTGCTGCACATGGGTCAGGGCAGTTCCAGGCACAGATGCAGGCTGGGTGGAGAATGGATGTGGAGCAGCCCTGAGGACAATGGACATGACCCAGAAACCACCCCCGTGCCCTGGGCTGATCCCACAGCGTGGGCAGCAGGGAGGGGGGGATCCTACCCCTCTGCCCCCTCAGGTGAGACCCCCCTGCAGAGCTGCCCCAGCCCTGGGAACAGCACAGGAAGGACATGGAGCTGCTGGAGAGAGTCCAGAGGAGGCCACGGAGCTGCTCCAGGGCTGGAGCCCCTCTGCTCTGGAGCCAGGCTGGGAGAGCTGGGGGGGTTCATCTGGAGAAGAGAAGGCTCCAGGGAGAGCTGAGAGCCCCTTGCAGGGCCTAAAGGGGCTCCAGGAGAGCGGGAGAGGGACTGGGGACAAGGGATGGAGGGACAGGACACAGGGAATGGCTTCCCAGTGCCAGCGGGCAAGATGAGATGGGATGCCAGGAAGGTACTAAATATTCTGTGATTATATGATATTGGCAGTGCTGGGTTAATGGTTTGATTCAATGATCTTAAAGATCTTTTCCAATGTGAATGATTTTGTGATTTGCAAAGTATGTCATGGCAAGACAGGAATTACAAGCTTGCTACAAATTCTACCAGTTGTCTTTGAAGAATTGCCATGGCTTTAGGAACAGGATCCTGTAGAATTTGTTAAAATTAAAAATTTAGCATTTCACTTTGGCAATATCTACTTTAAGCCCCTGTTTCTCCTTTTGCATCCAAGCCCCCTCATCCTTTCAGATAAGCTTCCCTGCTCAGGTTTCAGAGTCTTCCTTGAGGTCTTTCTTTCCCACTCAGCTTTGGAAAAGCTCCAGACTTACGTGAGGAACACTCAAGTGCTGCCTCCTGTTCCTCAGTGGATCTCCACCTCAGCACAGTGAGCTGGGCTGGCCTGAGCCAGCCCTTTGGGCCAACCCAGGACGCTCTAACTCAAGGAACATTCACTCGTGTGAGCAGCACAGTTGAGGGGTTTGATGGCAGAGTAGGAAGGCAGGGAGCAATTGGAAGTGGTAGTCTTCAGATTGTGGTGGAAAAATGTGTGCAAATTAGTGTCCACAGTCTAATTTTACTACTTTTGTTGTGGGGGCTGCACACCCTCTTGCTCTCATAGTAAATCTTCTGTTAACTTGTAGTGCTCTCAAATAGAAATTTTATTCTAAAAGAATCAAAATTGGAGTTTCTGACTTAATGCCTTTCTTGGTTTCTTTATTGTCACTGTCTTGGCTTGGGAACGAGTGTTGATTTGTTTGCTGTATTTGCTCAAACTCTAGCTGAAAAAATACTGGGCTGAGAAACAGCTCAAGTGGCAAGAACAGGAGGAGAGAGATCTACGACGTCTGGAGGAATTGAGAAAATTAATGGCTGAACAAGCGGCTAAAGACAGAGAAAGGTAAAAGAAATTAAATGTGAATACCTATGGTATTAATAGGAGCTTCTTATAATCCAATTTGTTTTGATCCTCCAGCTTTCTAAACTAGAATAAACTGAGATAAGTAACTTTTTTCTTCCTGTTTGGCAATTACCCCAATCTATACACTAAGGTCGCATCATGATTGTATCCTGGATGCAATTTATTTGGTATTTCAAACTAATTAATATCCATCAAAGATTTTACACCTTTGTAAGCATTAAACTTGGAATCATGACAGGGTGCACACATTAAACCCAACTCCCCTGGTGATTTTTTTTAATTGTAGCTGAGTAATGAGACCACCTACTTTCCCACTTTGCAAAATGATTTATAATCAGATTTGGTTTGTTTGAGGGGCAAGTGAAAGGAGCTCATTCAGCACTTAACAGCCTCAAAGATATTAATTATTATCTTAGAGAGTCCTGAACTGCTCATCTAGTTGTAGATGCTCTTTACCTGTTTAATGGGATTTTGGACTTGAGCCTGCTCACACTTGAATTGCCAAGTCTTTGTTGCACAATGTGGCCTTTAATGGCCTGTTGAAGAAATGCTGGATTTCACAGGGGAATTCCTCTGCCAGAGGAACACAACCCCAGAAAGTAGACTGGTTATAACTGCCCCCAAAGCACAGCCTGTCTCTTTTACATGGAGGTAACCACCAAGTTGTGGGGACCAGAAATGCAATTAAAATAGGATTCGAGTGCCATTGGCATTTGAATATTAAACTTGGTCTTAAGCATTCTGTGGGAAACAGTGCTTCAGTCTTATTTTGCTAGGACACCTGGCTGACAGCTAAATTTAAATGTTTGTATCCTTATGCTACAAATATATCTCTACCTTTCCTTAAACATACCTGCAGTGATTTTAGCTCATGGGAAAAGAAACACGTGTTTGAATTACAGAATTTTCAGCAGAACTGATCAGGGAAAAGTGATTTTTCTTTAAACCTGTGTATTGCACTCTGCCATAGTGCTGGGAATGTTCTTTCTTGTGCTAATAAATGTTGCAGAATAAGATACAAGGAAATGGCACAGTTCTTTGAGGAATGCAGAGGGGAAATAATCACCCCTTCAGGCTATTGTGAATCAGAAGCCAGTAAATACTCAGCATTACGTTGCCCAGAACTGATCTACTGTACCAAATAAAGCACTTGATTGTGCAGACCTCAGGTACACATGTGGCATGGTGGTGTCCTGGTGCAGCAGAGTTTGTCTCAGTTCAGATGGTCTCAGGCTAACAGGACCCTCCCCAGGAGCAGCAATCACTGCATCGTGGTACCAAGCCCTGCTCTGCCCCGCTCTGCCTGGCTGGGGTTTGCCAATCAGTTGGGATCACTTGGACCACTTCAAACTGGGTATGGAAAGGCAACAGAATGTCTCAATTTAGCATTGCTTTACATTCCTGCGTGCAGGAAAACTGCTGCAGACCAGACAGAGTGTGTGGGTTAGGCCTGGCCAGGTGCCCCCCAGTCTTCTCTCTTGGCCATGCACAGAAACTTCCAGAGTACTGAATTTTGTGTTTGGTAGCTCTGGAGTGTTTTAGAAGATGCATCACAGTAGTCAGCTCAAGCAGAATGAGAGGGTTTCAGTATAATGTAATTTTTGTCATTTTTCAGAGAAATATTAGTATCTGCTTTTTATTAAATTTTTCTCCATGTAAAAAGCAGATTATGGCACAAGTTATAAGTGTGCCATATAAGTATAGTAAGCTCCTTTGAGTTTACTAAAATTTGGAGAGTAAGAAAATAACAATACATGTTTTAGTGTAGTTGAAGCAGCTCATTCATCTCAATTTCTCTAGAGGCGAGTTCGAATTTGAAGGGCAAAAGAAGGATAACTCTCCAAATGCAAAGCATGGCATTGGCAACTCCTGTATAAGGACTAAAAGTGAGGTACCAACAAATACCTCCAGCTCCATAAGGAACAGAGTCTGGCAGTGGCCTGAGGGTCATCAGGGAATGTGTCTGTGCTGGTGCTGTAGGGCATATTGCCCCTACTGTGAAAGGGGGAGCAGGACAATGGTAAAGTTCTGGAGTTACTGGTGTGAACCTCCACCTTTTTCCTTTGGAAGAAGGGTGCAGTTCTCAAGTTTTCTTGCTCCTTCCAGTAACAAGCTTGGGAGTGAGATGTTGCTTTTAATGGAAAGAGTTATAGGAAAGATTTCTTCTGCCATACACAGATGTGAGAGAACATTTCTTCTTGGCAAAGAAAATGGGGGAGAAAAAAAGAGTACCAGGACTATATAAAGCACACTAGAGAAAGTCTGCAGTCTAGACATCTGAAAGGTTAGCCAAGTTGTTCAAAAAAACAACCAACCAACTAAAACCCACTCAAAAGCAAATCAAAAAATATAACTGCCTAAACCCCTCTTCCCCCAAAAACCCAAACAAAAAACTCCGAAAAAGAGAATGCATTCAAATGAAAATCGTTCTGCACTGAGGTGTTCTGCACATCAGGTGGATGTAGAAAACGTCAGGGTGGTTTTCAACACAAACACCACCAGAGAAATTTCAAGCTGGCCTTGCCCAGCGTTTCCCTCTGTGTGCTGGCAGGGTGCAATTCCGACGGGGGCTGCTGGAGAAGCGGCTGCTGGAGAGAAAGGAGCAGGTCCTGCTCCAGGCCCGGGAAGAGGAGGAGAGAGAGAAGCGCCTGGAAATGCTCCGGCAGCAGGTGGGTCGGCCCGGCTGCAGTGATCTCACACACAGGGGTACAAACACTGCCAGAGCACTGAGAGATAAAAGGAACGGTCTTTCCAAAGCAAATAAAGGAACGAGTTAAAATGCACTCCTGGTCTGACTAACAGTAATTCTGTTGTGTTATAAATCCTGCGTGCTCTGTGGCTCTGACAACAGGTACATTATGACATTAAATTGCACTGTAGAAGCTTTTGGTATCTAAAAGGAGAAAGAGAGGGGTTTTTCTAGGTTGGATGTCATTTCTCTTCCTTGATTTTTATTTTTTTTATTTTAATAATCTTAAGTCTTCCCTGAGTCTTAGGCGAGGTTTAGAAGTAATTTTGATTGTTTTTAAAGTCTGGAAGCTTACACTTCTTGGATGACTTTTCTTCAGAGATATTTAACTCCGTGAAACTTTTGCACATTATTTCTTAAGGGACATTCCAGAAAATGCATGCTAATGCTTGCTAATGTCATAGTAAATGTAGTGCTGGTAAATGTAGTAAATGTAGTTGTTTTTTTCTACTGCTAACTTTTGAAGGAGTAATTTTACTTCCATTTACATTTTTCTATCTAATCTCCTTGTTTTTTCCTCAGAAGATTAGTAGGAAAAAGCTAGAGTTCACATTCTGTACACTATAGGAGCCAAAGGAAAATAGGGAGGGGGAAAAGGTGCTCTTCAAACCCCTTTTTTCATTTGTGATAATTTAAACACCATTGAAGCAGCAGCTTTTTCCCCAGGACTACCCCTGGTTAAAAATCTGATGTTTGGTGCAACCTTGACCTCCCCCTCAGTGGACCATCCCAGTGCATCCTGTGCAACCCTTCCTTAATCCCTCAGGGGGTGTTGGTGGCCTCACAAGTGCTTTCACTTTGTAGTAGGGTGTGCAAAGTCAGGAGGAAAATAAAATATCACAGAGGCCAAATACTCTGAGCCACCTTCTGTGGAGAGCTGAGCAGAACGAGAATAGACAAACCTCAGGGATCCTTGGTATCCTTTTGGTAGTTTTTTAAACTGTTGAACTTGAGCACATTTCCAGTCAGTATTGCTTTATTTTTAAAAATCTGATTCAATTACATATTTTGCAGTGTTATTTTAGGTTATCAAAGCATTTTTAATAATAACTCTCTTGCATCTTTTCCAAGTTCCTGGTTGAGTTTTATTATCATTTGCATCAGGTTTTACATGAGGCTGGTTGGGAGTCATGATCTGTTGAGCTCTGCCCACTGACTCAATTATCTTGCCAGAGTAGAAAACACTTCTAGAACAGCCTTTGCCCAGAATGGGGAAGTTCCCACTTTGTTACACTTTTCTAACCAACATTTGTTCTCTGTTTCACACTAATGAAATGAATTCATAAAGTATGTGCCTTTTTTGTATGTGGGGGAAAAAGGTTTTTTAGTAAAGTCATCCAGCCAGCCTGTAGATTTTGGCAGGCTGTAAATACAAAGATGACATTTCATTAAAGAGATGGGCAAAAAAATTATCGTACAAAATTTAAGCTGTTTTTTCCTGATTTTAGTCATTCAGATAGGGTTCTGACTTTAATTATTTTGCTCATGCATCTTTCTGTATTTTTCCAAAGTAGTATTAGCCTGTATCTAAATGTTTTAACACAAAGAAAGTAAGCAATGAAAGAAGATTGATTCTGGCACAATACAGTGTCTGAGAGTCTTTGATACCGATCAAGCTCCAGGAAATTACACAGTTAAAGCAGATGCACTTCACAAAAAAAACAGAGTTATGTTATTTGGGGCATATCACTCAATGTTGTTGCCCATAACTCTGTAAAAATTGGGAACTACCAACCTGAAAGTTTGGACTTCCTGGAATTGTGGGAATTGCAGAATTGTGGGTATTGCAGAATTGTGAGGTTCTGGGCCTTTGTGGTGACTGTCTTGGGACGCTGGAGCTCGTGTCAGGCTCTGCTGAAGAGCCCAGGGTGCTGTTGCTTCTCTCTCATGTCCTTGCTGGGCCCAGGCTGGGACCCTACACACTGTTACAGTGCAAAGGCAGTGAATGATCATGTTCTCAAAGGGTGTGTTACTGATAAAAGCCTGTTCTCACCTTGACTCTACACAGAGTGAATGTTATTTTCACATCCTGTGTTTCAGGTTGCTGTTGTTGCAAAATCAGACCCAGCCAGAGCAGTGGCTGATACGGTGGCATCGAGGGCCCGGATGGGCATCGGAGCCAACCAGGAGTTTGAGCTGCAGCAGCCTCTGTTCAGGCTGCACACGTACAGTGAGGAGCAGGTAAGTGGCTGTGATCCTGTGTGAGCTATTGTGGGCACAGATGTCTTAACAGTGTATCCTAAATAGCAACACGGGCAGTGGGATACAGACTATGATGTGGGTAAGATAAAAACATCAGGAGTGACAGGTGGGGCAATGTCTCCAGAAAGAGGCTTACAAATTTTGTCAACTAACCTTCTGACAAATTTCAGAAGTAATTTCCCTGGGATTAATTGTCATTCTGACAAATGGAAGTGGCACTGACATGTAAGCACAAGGCAACAGTGTGAGAAAAGTCATAAAGGCGTTTGAAGCACGTGGATTCCATAGGAACAACCAGGAAGGGACTGGATTGTGTGCTCCACTCAGGGCTGTGTGCACAGGGAACATAAGGAAAGGCAGCAGCTCCTCAGGGAGCAGCTGGATTAAAAGTCACTTGGTTCCTCACCTACACTCTCAGTTTTGCTGAGGAAAGGCAACCAGGGCTCGTTGGTTTGTGATCATATTGTGTGATTGTGATTATGAATATTCAAAAGGATAATATTAGGATATGGACAGTGAGATAAGGCTTGCTCACTGTAAAGCTTCTCTGTTTTGAAGGTTTTATTTTATGACCGTAATTTTCTGACTGTCTTTTGAAAGCTTTTCAAACATATACATCCACAGATACCCTGTAAGATGCACCGGCTGTATGGGGAAGGTGGTGCTTGGTTTCTGTTGACCATTGCTGTGGTTTATTTTACCAGGTCATTTCTGACCCCAGACTCCGTGTCGAGCTCGCTCTCCGAGAAGCTGGACTGCATAAAACACTTTATGCAAGAGAGATTTTGCCAAAAATTCCTCCACCAAAGCTTCCAAGAAGAGACATGGAATCTACAGCTTTTGAAGTGTAGACCACCTCTTGTCTCAGGAGCAGAGGAGCTTCAGGGGTGCAGACCTTTAATAAATTCCCTTTGGTTGTGTCATAGAACTGCTCAGTTCCCTGTGTGTGCAGCCATTCAAACCCTGCTGAGCCTTTCTCCCAGTGCCTGCTGCAGGTTTGGGGAGCTGGGGGTGGCCTGATGCAGTGTCAGTGTCCATGTCCCTTTTAATTGGGAGCTGGGACACCTGTGCATGAGGACTCCTACACACAGCACAGACCAATCTGATGTGCAGCACCTGGAGCAGGAACTCTTGGGTTTCAATTGGCAGCAGAAATCCAAAATAGCTTTGCACTGCAGTTACTTTAGATTATATTACATTACATGAATAAATCCCACAGTTTTCATTCCAAGTTTCTTGAGAATTTGATCTTTTAATTATAAAATCTTCATTACCATGCATGTTTCTAATATTCTTTGATTATTATAAGAAGAAACTTAAACCTTTGTCTATATTTAGAAGCCAATTTGCTGCATCATATTTACTGCAAGCTAGTCATGCAATTTCATATTGCAGATTAGTCTTTCAGTATAAATTATAAATTAGAATTAGAGCTGGGATCTTTATTTTGGAGCTGACATTACTGAATATGATTCTATTAACTGAAAGGGAAATTGATGTTATTTCCTTTTGTAATTGATTATGTTTTCAAGCCTTACATAAAGATAGCATAAAATGATTGTAAACAAGTTACAAATTAGCACTTTGACCAGAAATTTCTAAGGATGATGAATATCAGAAAGGTCTGAACATCCCCACTTGTGTCTCTGGGCAGTTATGGGAACTTCATTAATGTGGTGCTGTAATGCCTTACAGGTGTCAGTGTGTCACATCTGAGTTCTGCAGAGACAGGTGTGTCCAGTTTTCACCCCTCAGACTGAGAACTCCGCTGGCAAAGCCCTCCCAGCCGGAGCGCGGCCTCGGCCCCGAGCAGGGCACTCAGGGCACAGCGTTGGGACCTGCTGGAGACCCCGAGGTGGGTGCCAGAGGGGGGCAGCTGGTGTGACAGACCCCCACGAGTGAGCACAGGGCTGGGCCAGGAGCAGCATCACCCCGGGGTGGCAGCTGAGGTATTCAGTGGGGAAATGCTGCAGAGCCTGCCCTGAGCCGTGGGAGCTGCGTTGTCTGGGCTCAGCTTCTGAGAGTTTGGGCTAAAATTACAACTCTGTGTATTTGTGCTTTTTATTTTGGTATCTCCTTTGGGCTAACTTGTTATTTTTAAAACACACTTGACCAGCCTCACAACTGGCTGGATGTTCCTGTGGGGAGACCAGCAGTGCTTTGCTGTGAGGAACAGACTGGCTGCAGGACAATTCCCAGAGAGGGATCATCCCAAACCTATGGCAGTTGATTATTTTTTTCCTTGCCTTTAAAAGCGGATCTAAAAGATAATTTCAGTGGTGCAAAATCTTTTGAGATCCAAGTCCAGTATTCCTTTTCCTTGAGAGGTTTTAAATTACTTTCACAAAGAGCTTGAAGGTACATTGCTGTTAGTATGGGAGTTTCTGAAGTAGACTTTGAACTTGGCGGAACTGAGTTGGAATAGTAGGTTGGATTGCATAGTAAGTGACTGGAGGAATGTGTTTCTATTCTGGGAAGACACTGGCTCCTGTCCTGGGATTTCTTCTCTGTCATATTAATGTTAGAGCCTAAAAACAGCCATCTTGGAATGGAAACCAGGAACCAGTCTCCTTTTCTTGTATAAAGTGGAATTTGCTTTTTCATGGCACCAGTTTTCACGATATCATAGAATCATCAGAGAATCCCAAAATGGTTTGGGTTGAAAGGGACGTTAAAGCCCATTCAGTTCCACCCACCCTTCCATGAGGCCGGGCTGATCCAAGCCCCATCCAGCCTGGCCTTCAACACTTTCTGTAAGTTATCCTGCAAGTTCCCTGTAAGTATCCTGTAAGTTACTGTTCCAAATTGATTTGGAAGCAAGCTTGTTAGTGAACCTTAAGAACTGAGAGTGATTTTGTGGGAATTCTTCAGGCTATAGGGGACCCTCTGCGAACAACCCCTCCTCTCCACCCAGGTGCAGTTCAGTCTCTTCCAGCTTGTGGAGACACTTGCAGATGATTTGCTGGATGTAAAAGATGCAGTTATGTGAAATCAGGTCAAGGTTATGTCAGCACTATGTGCTCCTCATCCCACTACCTCACAAGGGTCTCTGTGCCCAAACCTGCCCAGCCTATGACAGGGGTCAATCTGCTCCTGCTCAGCCAGAGACGGCCTCTCGTGCTTAAACTCTGGCACCTGCCAGTTTGTCACATCTTTAAATACTGTTGGAATGAAAGTCTGAACAGCCTCTGTAACAGCAGTAACAATAATGGTTACAAGTACTGATTAATTTTGGATGACATTTACTTAGGCTTTGCTTTATGCCCAAAGCAAAGGGATCTCCTTCCTACAGGATCACCGTGGACAGGAGTGACCTTAACAGGACAGTCCTTTACGATGAGTGGAGCTGGGAGTGAGGAACCTGCAGCTCAGTAACACAACCTGCAGCTCAGTAACACAGCCTTATTTTCTGTGCAAATTTTGGCTAGAGCTGCTGTCCTCGAGTGTGCATGTGTGTCAGAGCCATTCTAGCCGTGTTGGAGGTTGGAGCTGTCCTTGGGTGCGCATGTGTGTCATTCCAGCCGTGTTGGAGGTTGGAGCTGTCCTTGGACATGCACGTGTGTCGGAGCCATTGCAGCCGAGCTGGAGGCCTGCAGCGCCTGCACAGCAGTGTCCGTAGGGTGCGGCCACTCCCCTCGGCTGTGGAGGGCTCTCTGCTGTGGGAGTGTGGCGTGGCCGAGTGTCTTTCCCATTTCCCAGAGCAGGGGCCGTGCTGTGGCCGAGTGTCTTTCCCATTTCCCAGAGCAGGGACCGTGCTGTGGCTGAGTTTCTTTGCCATTTCCCAGAGCAGGGGCCGTGCTGTGGCCGAGTGTCTTTGCCATTTCCCAGAGCATGGCCGTGCGTTGTGGCTTGTCTTCCCATTTCCCTAGAGCAGGCCATTGTGCGCTTTCTTCTCCATTTCCCAGAGCAGGGGCGTGCTGGGCTTGAGTTGTCTTTCCGCATTTCCGCAGAGCAGGGCCGTGCTGTGGCGAGTGTCTTTGCCGATTTCCCAGAGCAGGGTCCCGTGCTGTGGCCGAGTGTTCCTTCGCCGATTGTCCCAGAGCAGGGGCCGTGCTGTGGCTGTCCTTTCCCATTTCCCAGAGCAGGGGCCAGGTGCTGTAGCCGAGTGTACGTCCCGCATTTCCCAGGAGCAGGCCGTGCTGTGGCGGCCTGCCGTGCGGCGGTCAGTGCACGGGTGACACCCGCCATGCCAGGTGCCGTTGGTCAGTGTGTGGGGCCCTTGGGCCAGCCCCAGCGCTGGTGGATGAAGGCGGCAATCAGGCGCTGGGGCCGCTGCTGGTACTCCCACAGCACCTCGTGGGATGCCCGGATCTGGTCCCCCTCCAGCCGGTCCAGGAGCGCCACGCAGACAACGGCGGCTGTGGAATGCACGGAGGGACGGATGGATGGAGCACTGTCACCTCACACCTGACCCCACATTTCACCCCCAGCATGGAGCAGGGTCCTGCCTCCCCGGGGCTCATGGTGAAGGGGCCAATGTGGCAGGACCCCCGGGAGCTGCTGGCCACAGCTCTGCTCTGCATCCACCCTCCGCTCACCCGGGCTCTGCTCCAGCAAACCCTGGGGGTGGCTGCACCAGCATGGCCAGGATGTGTTTGTAGGGCCAGGAGAAGTGGGGGGGATTAAGGTTTGGTTTGTCCAATGTGTTCTCAGGCCTTGGGTTTTATTGAGCTACAAAGTTTGTTTTAGTGTCCTTTTCTAGTTCAAATTGTTAGGAATGTGTGTTTGGCCTTCTGGCACCAAACAGAACCCTTAGAGGGGGGTTAAGTGGGATGCAGGGAGGAGATAGAATTGGCAGGACTCACCTTTGAGACCACACAGCCCACACAGGGCAGCGAATGCTGTGGACTCCATTTCAATGTTCCTTACACCAGCGTCATAAGCTCTTCTCAAGTACTCCAACTTTTTTTCACTGGAAAAGGAGCACAGTGCACTGTCTAATCTCCCCTGACCTGGGAAGGAAGCAGAGAAGTGTCACTGTAGGGCCTGGGCAGGGTCACAGGCACAGGGCATAGGTGCAAACAGAAAGTCCAACAGTGCCCACGTTCTGTTGGAGGCCCACGAAGTTTTCCTTTGAGTAGCTGTTAACTCCTATTCCCCTCGATGTTGAAGCCAGCACGACACATCTCTGTGCAGGGGGGAGAATGATGCAGGTTTCACCACAGGTAAAGGGCCAAGTCAGCCCACAGGTGTGAAGTGCAGGGGATGTTGTGCTCTGTGGGGACAAGCCATCCACACTCCTGAGGTCAGTGGTGCACCTCAGCTGTGAAGGTAAATGCTTACCTGCAGCTGGGCTAACCTGGGATAGCACTTCAGTTTACTGCTCTTCCTACTTTAATCCTCTCAAAGGGCTTTTTGTTTAAATAAAACATGGCCTTGAGCAATACACAGATGGCTGCATCTGCAAGCAGATCTAAGGATTTATAAATAGCGCTCAGATTATTAATTCTTCATTTATTACATTTCATCTACTCTGCAACCAGCATTTAGTTTTGCAGAGGAAAGGGTTCTAGAGGAACCAAAGTTTGTTTACGTAAATCTGACAGGCAGCCTGACATTTTCCTAGAGTTGGTAGTTCTGAAGTGACAATCTTGCTGTAGGCAACAGTGCAGTGGCAAACTCAGCAAGGTGCCAACAGAGGTACTGTGTGTTCTGAGGGTGCCCCTGCTCTGCCTGGGCCCTCACACATCAGGCGGGTCCGTTCCTGCCACCCTCCTGGGGCTTGGGGCCAGTGGATAGTTCTGTCCAGGTAAGAATGCAAACACTTGGTGTTACGCTTGGGGCAGGAAGGACAGACCAAGGTGGTTTTACCTTCGTAGAAGTCATAGGTGCACATGGTATGGCCGATGAGTGTGGGAAAGTCTGCAATCTCCCTGCTGCAGGCAAGCAGTTCCTCTGCCAGGTCCTTGTCCAGCTCGGTGCTCCGCAGCACCACGTCCCCCAGCACCACCTGCTCGAAGCGCGGCTGGAACGAGGAGTCCACGGCCGTGTCCGTGATCACAACAGAGCCGGCCTCGATCCCTGGGCACAGGGAAACTGAGGCTAAACCAGAGCTCGTAGCACCTGTGACCTGCTGCCAAACTCCACCGTGACAGGAGAATATCAATACAGCTGCGTGGGACTGTGGGGCTATTCTTTTTGGTGAGTAAAGCAGATGTCAGAGAATAATTGAAATTCACGCAGTAGCACAGATGTACAAGTAAAATGTACAGAATCAGCACAAGATGAGTGATTGCAAGAGTGTGCTGAGGGACAGGGTTTTAACTGCTTCTGGCTTGCAGAGATCATGTCCCTCCACCAGCTTGTGCAGGCATGAGCTGCAACACTCCTCTGGCCAGAGATCACAGATTTATTTGGGTTAGAAAAGCCATCTAAGATCATGAGGTACAACTGTTCCCCAGCACTGCCAAGGCCACCTCTAACCCATGTCCCCAAGTGCCACATCCATGTGGCTTTTAAATCCCTCCAGGGATGGGGACTCCACCACTGCCCTGGGCAGCTGTGCTAGGGCTAGACAGCCCTTTGGAGAATGAAATTTTTCCCTAATATCCAACTTAAACCTCCCTGGCACAAATTGAGGCCACCTCCTTTTGTCCTGTCCCTTGTTCTCTGGGAGCACAGCTTGACCTCCCCCCTGGCTGCACCCTCCTGCCAGGGAGTTGGAGAGAGTGAGAGGGTCAGCCCCAAGCCTCCTTTTCTCTCCAGCTCCCTCAGCCACTTCTGGTGCTCCAGCCCCTTCTCCAGCTCCATTCCCTTCTCTGGACACACTCTAGCCCCTCAATATCTTTTTTGTCTTGAGGGCCCAGAACTGATCCCAGGATTGGAGGTGCCTCAGCAGTGCCAGCACAAGGGAACGGTCACTGCCCTGCTCCTATTGCCACACCAGTGCTGGCACAAGCCAGGATACCACGGATATTTGGAGACCTGACAAAATGCTAAAGCTCAGAACCGCATGACCTATTGCTGGAATTTTTTTTTGATAAAGCTGTTTTGCTCTGAAGGAAGACCACAAATCGCTTACCTAAGCCTCCCGAAGTACCGATGCGGATAATAGTGACGTCCCGGCATTTTGCATGGTGCAGCAGTTTGATCAGCTCATGAAGCATGATGGAAATGGAAGGGATGCCCATCCCATGCTGTTGGAAGGAGAGAAAAGAGAAATGTCAGTGCCTGTGAGGCTGCGGCAGGGGACAGGTACGTGACTGCCACAAACTCAGGGTTACGCTGTGGCCTTTTCCCCTGGTGATTGCAACAGCGATTTTTTTGAGGGGGAAGAGACATCTCAGGGTCTTTGTAGCCTGTCAGGGTGAAGTGCCTAAACCTGTTCTTCTCCCCTTGATGATTTAAAGGCTCTTCTCATCAGTAGAGAAGGTGTTCATCCCTGGAGACCCCGTGCAGGCGCACAAACGGTGCCTCTCCTTCAAGACAGGTCTCCACAAACATGTCCTAACAGCTGAATGCTCCAAGACCTTCCCCTTGCACTGCTGTCCTTATGCCATGTGCTGGCTCAGTTCTGTCATGTCTTGCTTGTGCTCTGGGAGTGGTGAATTTCAGCGAGGACGACCAGAGCCTCCACTTCTCCAGGTGCCTTCCAGCCTGTCCTCGCCCCACGCCAGAGCATCTCCGCCACATTGCTGGGCACCAAGGATGACAGGAGGGTTCGTGTCCCTCAGTAAGGACAGGTTTCAGGGTCAGGCATTTGCTGCGTGCCTTGCAGGCCACCTGTCCTGCTTCCTGCCCTGCCCTTCTGTCCCCTGCCCTGGTGTCCCTCTGTCCCCAGCACTTGCCTGGCTGCCAGCTCCCCACTGCTGACACTGGCCAGTTCCCATCTTCCACGGAGAGTGCTGCCCTGCTCCCATCTCTGCTGCTGCTCCCCAGGGCTGGCAGATGTTCTGCAGGTCTGGAGCTGCTTCTGCCCAGCCCTCCCTCACTTGGTCATCTCTTTTCTGCTCTGTTGCTAGACTGATGTCCTTTCCTCAGCTTAACCTTTAAGAACAAAAGGTGTTTGATGCCATGGGGTTTGCTTTTTCCCCTGGAAAATGCCACACATTTTGTAGGTTTTGCTATCATGTTAAAAAACCTGAAGGAAGCACACATGGAAGCTCCATTAATTAACTTATGCAGCCAGTATTTGTGTTGTTTTGTCTCCTTTCTGTTGGCTGTGAGAGCAGTGCTCTGTTCTCCTTGTATCATGTTTTAAATATGAAACCTTTTTGCGTGTTGTTATTCTGGAACATCAGCCTGGGTTATTTGCCAATGCCTAAAAAATTTATTTTCATTGTAAATATTCAGAGCAGGAATCTGTGTTCCTGCCCCTGTATGTTTGAGCTCAGTTGTGTTTCTAAGCAACTTGCAGAAATGTGATGTTGGCAGCTGCTCCACACGATGCGTCTCGGGGCGGCCGGAGCTCTGCCCTATGTCCCCTTGCAGGGACGGGCCGAGGGCTCTGCCCTGGCCAAAGATGGTGCTGGTGCACAGCCTTGAGCTCAGCAAGGGTTTGCTTCTGGCTGTGTCACCGCTGCTGCCAGGCTGAGGAACAGCGAATCTCGTGGGGATTCTTCCCTTTGGATCTGACCAGATTGATTCCCTCAGGCTTTCCCCTTGGTCAGGATTGGTTTGGTTTTGTCAGAGGGACCAAACGTGAGTGCTGTCGTGTGAGTGACTCCATCTCCTGTGAGTCACATTTCAGACTAATCTTGTGCCTGAAGAAATGACAGCAGGACTCTCCCAAACACAGCCTGTGTTTGCTTTTCCCTTTGTGCAGTGCCAAAAATCCTGCTCTGAAAGAGTAACTAATAATAAAGCAGGATTTTATTTTAGAGCTTGTGTCAATGTAATGCTCCCAGCAACGTCATGGTTCATGGATGGTGGTCTTTGCCTCTCAAACTGCCAGACCCAAGCTGAGCAGAATGTGTGTGTCTGTTAATACGGCACTTTCCAAACGGAGCCTGCAGGGTGCCGAGGAATGTGATTCAAACAGAAGCAGCTTTGCCACGGCTGAGAGGTTGCACTGGTGGTAATGGCTGAACACTGAAAAGGGGGGAAAAATCTGCCAGTGAGCCTTGGGGGAAGCGGAGGCGTGGGAGGGACAGGCCCTGTCCCCGTGGCCGGAGCAGACAGGACCCCGCTGTCCGGCTGCCCTGAGCCCCGCGGTGCGGCCCCGAGGGGAGCGGCACAGAACTGACGCTGATGGAGATCAGCAGAGAAGTGACGGCGATGGAGAGCGGCACAGAACTGACGCTGATGGAGATCAGCAGAGAACTGACGGCGATGGAGAGCGGCACAGAACTGACGCTGACGGAGAGCCGGGAGAGCGGCACAGAACTGACGCTGATGGAGATCAGCAGAGAACTGACGGCGATGGAGAGCGGCACAGAACTGACGCTGACGGAGAGCCGGGCCCCGCCCGGTACATGGCGCAGCGGTCCGACCCCGCGCAGATGTCCGGCAGCTCCTCCCCGGCGCCCGCCAGGCCCAGCTCCCGCTGCACGAACTGCGCGAACGCCCTCATCCTGTTGGGGCTGCCGCCCACGCAGACAAACTGGAAATAAAATAGCAATATGTTGCTACTTCTGAGCTAAAACGGGTAGCAAGAGTCAGGCTGAATGTGGCCGTGGTGGCTGCGCCAGACGCGTCTTCCCGGAGAAAGCAGCGGGATGCTGCTCCCCCGCCAGCCGTCAAGGGACATCGGAACCACTGAGGGTCCCAAAACCAGGGGTTAACACGAAACCCAGGCTGTCACTCCATCAGGGTGGTGACTGTGCTGGGTCCAGGCAGCCGTAGAGCTGCATGAACTTGGGTATCAGTCCCAGGCAAGAAAATCTCAAATAACTCAGCAAATTTAGGCTGTTAGTGTCCCCACTGACAGCATAGCAAACCCAGATGTTGGAGGAGCTTCTCGCTGAATTTATTCTATGGACAGTGCCGACTGCAACGACTGAGCACTGCTTATGGCACAGAGACCGTAAAGTCAGGGAGGAAAAAGGACAAATTTTACATATTAAAGGAAAAAATGGTCCTTGAAGGTAGGAGGGGGTTGAGCATTTGGCTTCAAGGGCAGCAAGGCTGCAAGGCTGCTGATCCTGCTGCCAGGGTGCAGGACAGCAGGAGCCCACGGGAGCAGGGCTGTGCTGAGACTGTGCCAGGCTGCTCCAGCCCTGGGCACTGCAGCTCTTCCCCTGCACCGCTGGAGAAAGGCTCCGGTTTGAAATGGATGCCATCGTGACAGGCTTTTGACAGCAGGTCTCAGACAAAAATAATACATCCTCCTCCCCTTGTCTCCAATAGATGATGATCAAATGCTTGGGACAAATGCTTCCTCCGTCTGTCCTCCAATGTGGGGCCAATATAAAATCAGGTTTTATGGAGCTACAGGTTTCTAAAAGGGTAATTTTCTGTTGGGATTTCTGCCCAAAACAAGCAAGGACAAACAACCTCCCTGCCCAGGCTGCCCTGGGTGGCTGAGTCCCCTTGTTGTGCAGCCAGCCCCCGTCCTGGAAGGAGCATCGGCAGCGGTGGGGCCTTGGCATGGGTCAGCAGGGCCACGGGACATGGGACTGGAGAGCCTGTGGAGGGGGGAAACTGCTGTCTCACTTTTGCACCTGCTCTTTACCTTGATGTCCCCAAACATTGCTGGCAGGTTGTGTGTCTTCGTTCCCAAGTCCAAGTGGTACAGGATGTCCTCCTCCATCGAGTCCAAGTGGGGGTTTTTAATGTGGACAAACCCACCCCTGTGGGGAGACAGGGAGGAGATGGGTTGGGGTGCTGGGTAGTGCCCACAGGGATGGGAATGGGCAGGACAGGGCAGCCTGGGGAACCTGTGAGGGTACACACAGCCCTGATGTCATGGGGATGGGACAGAAAAGCCACCTCTGTGTGGCATCTGGGGCAGCTGCCTTTCTGCTTCAGGCAGCCTCTTTGACACCTCTGTTATAGCTATGTATTTGGCAAAAAATGTTTCTTGGTATTTATCAATTTTGTCAATGGCAATTTTAGCTCTTTCCCTCACAGAGGTCTGCCAGCAATATCCAGGGGCAATGTGCTGTGCTGTTCTGTATATGTGACAGCTTATTAAGCTCTTAGGAAATCAAGGTTTCACACTTGTATTGTCCTAAATAACTGCCTGGTAGGATGGGTGCAAGTTAAATCCAGACTTTGCAGGCAGCAGGAGGCTGGTTTGCTGTCCCTTCCCGCCTGCTGTAAGAGATGGGAAAAAACTAAATAACAATGCAGGTAGGTTTTATAAATGAGGCTTAAACAAAACCCAAAGAACATTTTTCTTGTCTGATTAAAACAAATTCAAACGTTCCCCTGTTACTCACCCTGAGTAACCTGTTGTTTCAGTCATAGTGGCTCTACCAGAGTCAGCTGAAAGTGATCCCCTGCTGAAAAGGTAAGGAAACCACCCCGTGTCCTCAGCCCTCGGGGTTTGGAGCTCAGAAGAGGTTTCAGGGGGCTCTGCAGGGCCTTAAATACCTCCTGTGCTTTGTGTGGCTCCCCAGGTCAGCAGTGGCCTGTCCCTTTCGCCCGGTCTCCGCGGCCCCTCGGGTGCCAAGGCTCCTCCCCGACGGGCTCTTTGGGCCAGTGCGTCACCAGTGGCCTCGACTGGCGGTGCTGGGGCCGGTGACCTGCTGGCCCCGGGGCCGGTGACCTGCTGGCCCCGGGGCAGGGACTGTGTGCCCTCCGGCCGGCAGGGCGGACACATGTGCACCCCGAGGTGACAGGGTTTGTCTGAGCTGGCTGTCACTGTGCTCCCACCCTCAGCGGTGCCCCTCTGGGCCCTGGGGACCAAGGGGCACTGGTGCCCTGGACACCACTGGTGCCCCAGACACCACTGCCAGCCGAGCTGTTCTCTGGCCCCAGTCGGTGCAAATCCAAACTTCCCTGCATTTTGGGGTGCACAAAGACAGAGTTTGGGCCGTAGCCAACCTCCAGCCCAGCTCAGAACAGCTCCTGACTTCACTCTAAGCAGTACCCAGCCAGCAGTGTTTGCTCTCGCTGTCCCCACGGCCCCACTGCAGCCCAGGAGCCCGTCAGGACGGTGTGTGGTCAGGGGGGCTGGGTCAGCCTTGCTCCAGATCAGGGGGAGCCAGAGTGCTCCCGGGGCTGTGAGAGGGCTGTGGTGCTCCCTCGGGAGCGGGAGGAGACTGGAGATACTGGTCCTGCTGCCTGTCCCAATGACAGATGTGGCACTGTGGCAGTGGCGGGAGGGGCAGAATCTGGCATTTGCTGTTGGCCTCTGGGGATGGTAGGTGGAAACTCTGGTTAATTAGATAAGTGCTAGGTAATTAATTACTGGGTGAAAGTACATCCTGTGGGGCTTGCTTGCACCTGGCATCCAGGCAGTAACACAGCCCTACTTCACTAGTGGGGCAGGGAAGGAAATTGCTGTAACTGAGGCAGCCTTTTGCCAGGCAAATGCCCATTTTGCTTGGCAAATACCCATCTAAACCCCTTAAATTGCAAAACCCCATATAAAAGTAAATAAATATTGCAAACCAGTGGCCCAGGAACATGTAAATTGGGAACCTTGCCCAAGACAGGGTCAGGATGGCTCCGAGGAAAGGAGGGAGCAGAGCCTTTAGGGATATTTCAGGCTGGCTGGAGATGTACCAAAGGCAGGCTGGAAGGATTTCTCTGCTCTGATGAAATTCTCCCTCCCCGGATGCTGTTCACATATGCCTGCCAAAGATGACTTATTACTGACGCTCCACAGCACTCCTGAAGAATACAGGTCTGGAGACTCTTTTCCCTTTCAGAGAGCACCAGACCGCACACAAAATCTCACTTGAGGCTGCGCACACCTTCCTCCTGCCGAAGTCACCCTGTTTGCTGTGGTTTTCTGCAGAAGGCTCCATGTTTTGGGCACATGGTGGTTCGTGCCGTGGCCTTCCCCAGGTCTGTACAGCCGTGTCCAGTGGGCGTTCCCTGGTTTGGGAACACAGCAGAAGGTTTGCTGCTGTTTGCCAGCAGCGGCAGGGAACGCTCTGGGGAAGGGGAGTTCACGTTGAGGCTTCCCATGGGTTCTCCTCCTTCTCTGGGCTTGTTTGGTGGAGGAACATGAGGTTCCCCTGCCCCATGCCTGCCTCCAGGAGCCCTGGCTCCCGATGGGAATGTGTTCCCACAGAGCACAGGGCCGGAGGCAGCTCTGGTTGCTGCCGTGCCCTTGCCACGAGCCACAAGCCACACATCCCGTGTTCCCACTGCCCACACAGTGGGGCTGGGCTGGGGCTGGGCAGCCACCCAGCACTCACTGAGAAGCTGATTTGGCACACGGGGCCATGTTACTGTTGCTGGTGTGTGAAGGAGAGGGAACAGCTCATGCGATGAGCCCAGATCAGACCGTGGGATGAGGGAGCACAGCAATCACCTGCTTGGCAAAGGGAGCGTGGCTGACAGGGAAGGAATGGCACAAGTCCTCACCCTGCTCCACTGTTTTGCAGTGGCTCCAACACTGACTGGCAGTTCACAGCCCCGGGGGGTTCAGAGGAGCAGGACCTTGGTCTTGCTCTGCCACAGCAGCGTCTTGGCCCTGTGAAGAGCAGGCTCTGCAGCAGGCTGAGCCCAGTCACAGCACTCTGCATCCCCAAGGGCATGGCTGGGGGCAGGGCTTTTGTCAGGGAACAAGGATTCTGTGCTGGAGGGAAAGGCGGGATTTGTCAGAATGATGGATGGGTGGGTAGACAGATGGACAGACAGCTGGACATGTGAGTGACCCTGTGGCAGGGAGGGAGTGAGTACAGCCCTGTGCCAGCACTCCCAGGAGTGGAGGTGGCTGCTGGGGCTGGTAAAGGCAATGTTTCCATGTGTTCCTTCGTGGTGGAGTATTTCTGGCCACACCTGGCAAGGTTCAAATCATCCCACGATAAAACATTTTCCTGGAGCACATATACAACTTCTTAAGGTAAATATTTCCTTATGAACTAAACAGTGTTCCAACACAGCCAGGGGCCATCGGGACATCCCTGCCCCACCACAGCCTCTGCCCCCAGTGTGCTCAGTCCCAGGCACGAATTTCCCTTGTGCCCTGCCTGGGGCAAAGGGGAGAGATTTTGGAGGGTGGCCCTGCTGAGTGAGCAAGGACAGAATCCCCTGGAGCCACAGCTCTGTCTGGAATGGCAGGCTGAGAACTGGTGTGTAAGCAATGTTCCTGCAGTGATTGTCCCTGCTGTGCCCAAGGTAAAAGGAACAAGCGTGTTCTGTTTAAGTAAACACGATTGCACCAAGAGAAATGGTTGGATTGTGCTTTTGGCTTCCCAGAACTGATGCCAAGGAGAAGGGACAGCAGCTGCCACAGCCGTGCAGGTTTTGGGGCCTGTCTGGCCAGTACAAAAAGTCCCTCACGTTTGGTTCCCTCCTTGGTGGTTATTTTTCTCATGGTTGTTCTCCTTTGGAATGGCTTTCAGTGTATCCCAGACTGAAGTGTGGCTGTTCTCCTACCTCATGCTTGCCATGGCAGAGGAATAAAATGGAGTGGAATAATAGAAAAGAATATAATAGATGTATAGATTAGAATAATGGAATAGAATAGGATAGGATAGAGTACTAAAATAAATTACTTTCAGTTGAAAGGGACCTGCTGTGCTCGTCAAGCCCAACCACCTGCCTGTCTCCCTTCCTCAAGGCAGAGTGGGGAGGTGGGGATGGTGAGAAGCAGAGAGCACTGCCCCGAGTGAGTGTTTGTTTGTGCCTGATTCAGAGCTAAATCCATCCTCTGCGAGTGCCAGGCAGTGGAGCTGTTAGCATATGTGCTGGAGGATGACAAATAAAGCCCGAGGAAGGCTACGGCACAGGAACATACGGCAGTGTAGACAGGCTCTCGGCAAGGGAGGAGCTGGGGAGAGCCAGCACTCCCGCGCCCATCCGACACCTCTCGTCATGTTAAGAGCTATTTTAGAGCAGACAGGCATGGCAGCCTGTGCACCACAGGAAGCTCCCACCGGCTGCGTCCTGCCAGGGCTGTGCAGCCTCTGCTCCCAACAAGCCCCAGCAGCTCCTTCTCCACTTAGCTTGTCTCTGCCTTCCTCCCGCGGTGCTGCTGCTGCAGCTCCCCGGAGCTGCTGATGGATGAGATATTTCATCAGCCTGGAGCGCAGCCCTGTCTCTGTCGAAGGCCAGCAGCCCCTTGGGGGCTCGGGCTGGGCAGGAGGGACAGGTTCTGCCCGTAGTAGGAGTGAGCTCCTGCACCACCACCCCGGCAACTCACGTGAGCCTCTGCTCACCCCAGCAGTTCTGCAGAGAGCTGATGAACATTCACAGTGCAAGGGATGTCTGGTGCATTCCTCTAGTGATGATTCCTGGCAGTCGGAGTAAGGGAGCAGCAGAAGCACCAGGGAGTGTTTTACCTGACAGCAGCAAGGCCCCGTGCCAGCAGCACGGAGCTTTCCCCCTCCCCTTCCCAGCCCTGTGCTGTGAAGCCAGAACAGCAAACACGGGGGGCAAAATGTGCATTTTTATCAGCTGTTCGCTCTGGCTCCATGTTTTGCCTTGTTTATTGTGGGTATAAAGCTGCTCCTGATGTCAGGAGCAGCCAGTAAAACACTCTCCGGAGGAACCAGGCTCCACAAACCCTCGGGGCACGCGAGTAACGGCAGCTTGTCAAGACATGTTTCCCCCGAGGTGAAGTACTGCCACAAACCCATTTATTTCAGGCAGAAATCAGCTGCCTGACGTGTGTCGCTATTCAAGGAGCCGTTGATCCGCCAGTCCCGTGTGGCTGCGCCGGAGGGGCTGGGAGCGCTGCTGGGAGCGCTGCTGGGAGCGCTGCCGCTCGGCTGCGGGAATGTTCCTCGGAGTTGTGGACAGGGCTGAGTCGCTTTTCCCTCTGTCCCCTCTGTAGCCTTGCTCACAGCGTGTGAGATTCACCGTGGGGAGGGCAGGAGACCGGCCCTCCCTGCCCGGGTGCTGCCGGGGCCCCGCGCGGGCTGTGCCCACGCTCTGGGTGTCCTGGGCTGCCCGGGAGGTGCGGGCACAAGGGAGGCAGCCACGCACACCTGCCCACGCAGGTTCAGGGAGCACCAGGCTGGTCCCCCCACACCTGGGGAAAAGGGCTACAGTTGGGTTTAAATCTGCCAGTTTCTGGCTGGGATCGGTGCTGGTTTGCTGCAGGTTTGCTGCAGGAGCACAGGCCCTGCCCCGGCTCTGCCCGGCTCCACCGCTGTGTCACTGCTGCCCACGGAGCCCGTCCTGGACAGCCTCTTCCCCGGCCCCGCTCGGATCTGCCTCAGCAGCAAACGCTGCTTTTGGCATCTTGCTTTTCCCAAGGCCGAGTTCCTTTCATGCCTCCAGGCGGGGTGAATTGAAATGAGAAGGAAGATGAACAATGGGGCAGTTTGGCAACAGGGACCCCTCGCCCAGTCTACGGTGGGTTCACCCTTTCCCTCTTCGTGCTGGTTTTTGTTCCCTTCACCCTGTGGGGACGGGGATGCCGACCCAGCTCTTACACCACGGGGATGGCATTGCCAGCAGGTTCTTGGCTCGCTCCATCCC